AACACACAAAGGAGGTGCAGAGGCCTGTGCCATGAAGCAGGATTACTGGGTTAGCAAGACAACTTCATGTTTAACCCTGACTTTCTGGTAACACAAAGCTGGAATCCTATTAAAACTTGAGATCCCACAGATACGAGAATTTTTGTCAGTCTCCAGTCCCCCCAATAGTACTTCACAACTCATGATTCCCTTTTCAGATGTAAATGCCCCAATAGCGCTGTGGTTGGAGAACCATTCCACCCACTTCAGTTTCGGTTTCAGCTGAAGTCTCTCTCTTTGAGACTGTTTTACCTGAGAGCAGCAAAAATCATACTTATAATTAAATTTAACTAGGTCAACGTCATCAGTGTCGCGAACACCGGGATAAATTCAGCGGAGCAATCAGCGCAGCGATCAGACGATAACTCAGACATCCAAAGTTCCAAAAACTAATTTCAGGGAGATGCTTAACCCCCCACCCCCCCGGGTACAACGGACCCGCACCCTGCCCCATACATACACACTTAGGCCAGCAACTGCTCATCAACTGTTTATTAACTTACAGTAATTTCTTAAACACAAAACAGAACAGTATTGGTCTGTTATTGCTTTCTGTTTTTCATAGGACTTCAGCATACAGTGCACCTCGCCATGGTGTCATCATTCCTCACCATGGCCGGTTCTAGACAGGGGCCAACGGGGGCCAGAAATTCTAATGATGATATGCACTGGAACAGACATGGTCCTTTGGAACTACTTCATTCTTTTTCTTTACAAATTCTGTTTTACTAATTATTCAAAAACAATAAGGTGATAGCTTCAGTGGTATTGAGATAGGATCCCATTTTTCATCTGCTAAATGTTTTTTTTTTTCACAACAAATAAAAAAAAAAAATCCTCTAATTTTTACAGATGAATTTAACAGTTTTTCCTGAGTTCTAATTCATATTTTAGAGAAAACAGTAGTTTTAACTTAAAGCTACAGTGTGTAATCTTCAGCGACATCTACCGTCCAGACTGCAGACCGCAGCAACATGAACATCTCCCCCCCACCGCTTCTCCCCCCCAACAGTACGGCGAGCGTTACGGGACAAAACGTCTTCCACGACGTCCGCATCACCTACCTTCTCAAGTGATGAGGTTTGTTTACATAGATAATTTTACAGATAGTATTTCATTAGTCTG